TCCCAGGAATTTGTGGGAGAGTTTGTTGCAGCACACCGTTCCAAACAAACTTCTTGGATAGATCAAGAGTCTGAGCGAGTGAGTGATTACGAATAGATGGTTGAAGACGAAGAAGTGGATGAATGGGGTTAGAAGATCGATTGCTAATGCGAACAGTAATCGAAGAGAATGTGTCGGTGTGGACATCGTGTTTTGGACCCGACTTATCATTGATTAAGATATCAATTGAAATATCCTCAATTCTGATAGCGTCGATGACACGTTGGCTTAGACGAAGACCGCGTAATTCTATATTTCCTTTGCGGCGTACGCCAGAGCGCGTCTCCCAGGTTCCTTTAAGAATTTTAAGAATTTCTTCACGGTACCAGAATGCTTCCCGAGTAGCTCGTTCTGAATCTGCGGATACACGGCCTGCGCTTACGACAAACTGTCGTTGTCGCGAGGGATCAAGAGCTGGGATAGAGGCAGTTGGATTTTCTAAATATATCCGAGGAATAGGAAACATGATGCGGGACGTATTACCCGGGACCACTTCCTCTTCAATCTTGCCTCCTTTCTCAATATCTATCGAGACATGGATACTGCTTGGCCAGGCATTTCGAAGATCAAGAATTAGTAAGCAATGATCTTGTGGTGTAAAGTCCTCAGCTGCAACAGTACCATCAATTTTAGACCACAAAGAAAGGGGTAAGTTTCCGGTGAATGGCATAACATCCATACGTGCCAACTCTATACTTGCGTTTACTGTTATCGTAAGTGGTAGACTCACTTGACGAGTATGGAAACCATTTTCAACCTCTGACTGGGGAATACCAAGATGAGCATAGTCCACGTGAACAGTAGCACTTGTTAAGCCAGGTTTTCCCAGTATTTCTAATTCAAAAGTGGCCTTTCCACCAGGTTCAATGTATGGCTTCTGATCAGGATTTGGAATATATCGAAGTGCTTGTTTCCGTGCCAGTATTAATTCGTACTCATATAGCTCCGCTGGTGACGCTTCACGATTACTCATTGCTGTTTGTAGTGGTGCTTGAGTAGAATCTTTGAAGGAAAAGAGTAGTAGATCTACGGGTGTCTCCTTTGAAAAGTTTTCTAAAGTAATAGAGAACCTTTGGCGTTCCCCTTCTAACACCATCAAAGCAGATTGTGATAGATTGGTAGACTTTATTGCGACTATAGGTTGTTTTTCAATGACATTCAATCCCACGGTGGTTGACAGAGGAGGTATGACGCCGCAAGGCACTACACTGGATGATGTAGAGCCAAAACTTGTAGGGCGAGACTTCTGCCCAAATAATTTTGCCACACCAATAGACTTGATTTTGACATCGCCTTGTGGTGACCATGAATCCGAGAATATAGGGAATCGCCGTTCTCGGCATCCCCTTACTTTAATAATGCATCCAGTGATTTTAAGGGACCCTGGGTCTTTAGGTGTCCCTAATATGGTAAGAATTTGTGTTCTGTAAGGTCCGATAACAGTCTTTTGTACGGCAGATTCAAAGCGCGCCCCATCAGCATCGAGTTTGATACTTTCTATTTCCACATCAAACTCATATGGGTTTTGCAAAGTAACCTTAAAAACAGCTCCCTCACCAGCAACCATGATGTGATCAACAATAGAGGCATTTAGTGGGCGTAAGAAAGGATTGTATATGAAAGGATTTATCTCTCTTGCTGTAGCAATATTCTCTCCATCAGGGAGTTCTCCGCGTGTATGAGGAATTGGAGTTCTCGATTGAGGTAGAGGCTCAAGCTCAACGCCTCGAACCAGAAATTCATCCCAATACTCCGCGGAAAGTTCATGAACCCCCAAATTCCTAGCAGCTCCCAGCGTGCGAGTAATATTAGTCATTAGTCGAATTTGCTCCTCGCGACTCATATTGGGAGATGCATCTTCACTCCGTGGACCCGGAGCTACACCACTACCGGCAGTTCTTAGTAAATCTGCAGTGAACTTTAAAACGCCTTGAAAATCCGGCAATGCCTCAGAAAGATTGATACAAGATCTCAGAACCTCCATTTTCAAGGCTTGGCTCCCAAAGGAGCGAATCGAAGAATCGTCAAGTATCCTAAGAATAGTTGCTTCATCTGAATCATCGAATGCTTCTTCGGCAGTAGCTCTAGAGGATACAACTCCATAAGTTTGACCTAGTAAAGAGAGAAATGAGTCTACCCCGTTCTCCATGTCACCTTCACCAAGTTCAAGGGCTCCAGCACCGTTAGTGTTTCCATTCGCACTTAGCGCCGCCAATCCTGCAGCTGGATGAACTCCCATTTCGGCTGCTCCTCTGAGACGAGCTTGGACGAGGGCGGGAATTAATACCGAAACTAATTCACGGATTACCATGGCCTTTTTCCTATTATACCCCATTGATCCTAGAACTGAAGCTATGCCGCTCAATATTATTATTCGATCCACAACAACAATATTTTCAGAGGACGAATACACAGGAAACGCTCTTAGTATGGTTTTGAGGATTTCCCCACGGGTGGGCTGTATGTTCAAGCGAGGCGTTGCGAGATTGGGGGCTTTTTGAAAGGGGGTTCCGAGAACAACTAGTTGTAAAACTTCGTCATTTAATTGGCCACCGCCTGTGTGTATAGCTGAAGAAAGTTTTGCATAGCGAATGACAGTTTCGGAAAATGGATATTGTGGCATAGCCTCTCCAATATTATTCGCAGCACGAGTATAGAGGTTCAAGATTCTATCCAACAGCTCTGGAAGCAAAATAGCCAGATTCTGTAGCGAGACCAGACGGTTACTTGCGGGACTTCTTGGCTCCAGAGCTGACGTTAAGGACGGAGCTTTTTCTGCAGATACATAACAAATTTGTGGAATTTGAAAGTCCAAGCCAGTCCAGGCGAGCATGAGCATACTCACAAGAATATTATCAAGTGCCTTTGCATGCCATAAATGATCAAGATTTGCTTTCGCAATAGCGGCACTTTCGACAAGCTCGCGTAATGCATCACTCCACCGCCCTGCGCACATATACATCGAACCAATGACAATGCCAACACGACTTTTCCCTTTATTTCTTGACCTTTCGCTAGTGCTTCCTGATCCAAATCCTATAATTGACACTCTGTCCCTGCTACTATCTCTGACCCCTTTGCTACTCGGAGTGCCAAGTCGAGAAGGTAAATTTTTCGTTGTAAGCCCAGTATCCCCAATTATATTATCAAAGGTTGGTGGCGAGTCAGAGCGGAGACCAGTAGCAGGACTGCCAGAGCGACCCAAGGGTGAAGATGTGCCAGAATCCGAGGGTGCCGATCGAATTGCTGGCATCGACATTCGATAGTTTGCACGATCAAGAGCGCTGGCGGGAGAAGCAGATCTGGAGTCTTGTTGGGGTGGTGAAAACTGAGGGTTCCGTCTTGAGGACCCATCGTGTGAGCCTCCGCCCCAAGATCCTCCATTGGACGGCCTGTTTCCTGATTGAGCTGGTGACTCGATTGTAGGTAAGGCTTGGAGTGACCTTGCGAGTGTCGTCATCTCCGCAAGCAACAAGGCAGATATATCGCACATAACAGTTTTCATTGTCGTTAAACCGCAGTCAGCAGCTGGTGGTATAGCGACTAAGCCTTCTGGCAAGGCTGTAGCCGACTTCTCATGTATATGATCGAACAACAGTACTTGGTGAACCAGCGCTTTGGGGTATCTGTCTCTCAAATCCTCCAAATCTTGGTATAAATTCCGCACATTTTGATCTAACCGCGATACCCCAGTGCCATTGAGACTCTTCCTCGAAGCCCCTTTATAAGATGTATGCTCCAGCTCGGCGCCATCCGCGAGTGCTATAATAACAAGTGGCTCTCTGTATAATTCAAAGGGAGATAACGCGAGGTGAGTAGAAGGTGGATAATGTGTCGTGAGATCATAAACAATCATCCCCAAAGGAAAGGCTAATGGGGAGAACATATCTGCCAATTGTCAGCGCTGCCAAATGCGCATTAAGGAGAGTTTGATTCTCACTTCTATTAGGACGTCCATCTGGACTGATATCCCCCAAGCGTACAACATTTTGAGGTTGCAACCTTTCTACGAAGCTCAGAAATCTTGCGCGTTTGATTTGCCCAATTGGTAACAGCACAACTCGTACTCTCGCAGGAGCAACGGGCGACAGCTGATCGAGCATTGTGAGAACATTTGGATGCGATGCGCCTAGCTAGGTAGAGCTCGAATCCGTGATATGATGATGTTACTACCGGCTTGAGCTGAGATTCAAGACTGTTAGAAATAATAAATTAAATGTCCGAGAGTTTGTAGGACCAAAGAACAGTAAAATATGACGAATAATGAATTTGTGTTAATAAAGCTATTTCTTTACATTGAGACGACGAGGATACCAGATCCCCTGTTATACGGTGACTATTTTGCATGATTGGTAAATGGCTCAAAAGTTACCCAGCAGCGGCACATCCCGAGGCTAGATTCTTAACTTCACTCCAAGTCACTCAACCTCATTACTTCGGATATCAACACAGCTATTGTATAGATGTAAGTCAACATTTCGAAGCCCTACTGATGTACAAGCAGCCTCATGATTTCGCGAATGTTCCGTTCACCTGGTCTTCACTTGCACTTGTGATGCACTTCAAGTTACATATCGGACGAGCTTCCTACCTCCTAGGGCTTAATATCTGTTCTTCGTATGAGTATATCACAGGAAACATTCTGAGTAGGTAGCGCAATGATATGATGGAGAGGTACGATTTACTTCAGATTTTACTACTATGTGCACGCTGTTGGACATGTTCCTCCTTTATGAGTAACTACTCGTGAAGTACTCAATGCGCTGAATATCGTATAAGCTGTTCCCTTCCGGGGCGAGAACTCCTGCTCAAGATTATACACGATATGATTTGCCCACCCCTTCTCCCCCTCTCCATACTCGTCTGATATCAACCCATGTCACAAGAAATCTAATCGCTCAGGAGATCCCTCTAGCCAACGAATCCAATTTGATGCTTGTCACCCATGCAAACATATCCAACTACCACTTCTTTCGCTTCTTTGGAGATACTCTAGCAGTAACCTTCAAAAAGTATATCAGCTGTCAAATCGCGGCGATTTAACCCGGGAGGACTTACCTTGGGATAGACGCAATATGCATTAATTGCGCTGCAGGAAGAGCAGCTAGGCATACTTTTGTCACACCCATGGTGCCGCTCATAACAGTTGATACAAGCTCGAGGTGATTTTGCAGGCGCGCCCTGTTTTGGAGAAGATGGTAAATGATAGTCACCTCCCCCCGAACAGTATGGTCCATCGTCCTTGAGATCTTTCACAGGTACATCAATTGTATGCTTTGTCGAAACTTTTTTAGCTCCGCCTCTTGACTCAGTACATTGGTAAGAGTCATTCTGCCAGTGTTTGAGAAGGGATATTTGGTCGTTGATTGTCCTCTCTTTCAGCCGATCCGCAAGCCAATTGATCCCATCGACGACTGGTGGAAGCTCTAGTTGTTTTGGGCGACGTCGTATTTTATTCGTAATGCGTTTAGAGCGCGGAATGAATTCGTTACTTGGTTCCACGTATCTTCGGATGATACCTTCTTGTTGTGCGCGAACTCTATCCTCTTGAGCGATACCTCTTATCATTTGTTTGTTTCCAGGAACCCCATCTGCATACTGATGGGCAATCCAGCTTTCTTCCTCTCGAAGTAAGGCTTGTGGAGTCCATTTCGTCCTGAAGTTGATAAGGTCGCTAGGTTGAGCTCTTCTATGAAATTCGTAGATGTCGTTTATGTCTCCGCTGTCGCTGAAGGTGACAAGTGGAGCCTCTCTTATGCATCTGATCGCGCGATCTTCCTGAGCATTAGTACCGATGAAGCTTGTGGAAGAGGTACTTCGAGCATCATTTATACTATTCAAATTCCTGGCATCGATAGGTATCGATTTCGTTCTGCCCATAGTTGTAATGGGAGCAAGTGCATAGGAGGAGTTTTTGAGGGTTGTAAGGTCGGAGGAGTCCGAGTGGTTATTTCTCTGTTGTTGTTTAAACAACCTCCAACCTTAAAATATTAATAACCGAAGCGACCAACCCTTGAATCAATGAACTTTCTTTAGTGTCATCTGATTTGTCGGGCTACGAATTCACCATTCTTCGTCTTTAAAGATCCTGTTTGTGCATTATTTGCTATACTTCAAAGCAGTCTGCACAGTGTAATTTCATGCATTTTGGGGCTTGAATATATTCAAGCAGGTTGATATGATCCACAAAATCTACACAAAGATGAGGATAGCTTCAAATGGGACGCTTCATAGAGCAGTTTATTGGATATATCAAGTACTTATCTATCTATTCGTTCACTGGCTATCATATACTTTGTATGTTGTATTATATGTCCAACTTCTCCATTGATCTTTACTAGGTTGTTTGTGTTGACACATGTGTATTCTATCAAGACTATCTCTACCAAGGCTACCGCTTCCTAGGTAGGTTTCTTCAATCCCTAGAACTTTATTTGCTCAAAACTGTTGAGCTCATTCAACCTTGTGGCCTATAGAATAAAGAACAAGTTGCTTACAGCTTTACATTGCATTTATTCAAGTTCCAGCTCATTCAGATCATCTTTCAAAGGAATCTTCCGCAAAAGAAAAGAAAAAAAGGCTATGAATGACTCCTGTGGTTAAACAACGATTTACAATCCTCTCGTCTTCCAGCACATCAGGTTCACGAAACCAGAAACAACATTGGATGGTATCATACCTATCATCTGAAAAGAATTCGATAAATGGGACCATATCCGTTCTCCAATCGCAATAATCAAATCATCAAGGTCTATCTAGCCATTGCTAGCGCGAAAAGAACATTGGTTACCATCTTTACAGTGTATAGACCCATGTCATCTAACATGCAATAAAGCATATCGATATAGCGGTATCAGTGCCAGGCACTATATATGACTATATCTTCTAGTCAAGTGGCATGTAATATTTAGAAGCTCGAGACATGAGCCAGAAATAGGCTGCGAACTCTGGTGTGTTCAGAATGGATGGCAAGTGTTGTCCGTGAAAGACAATGGGCTGGCCAAGCTCATCTTCGATCTAAGCTATGCAGTACAGACGATAAATCAATGAGAAGAAGGAGTTGTTGTTGCTCAATCTTATTGAAGTTATCATTTATTTTTATTTTCGCTTCTGGGGAAGCGATCTTTGATTAGGCATCAGAATGGCTTCAACTTTTCAATTTGGTTTCTATCACTGTTCTTGCTGATTATAGATGAATGAAATACTAAAGAACAAAACCTTTACACAAAAGTCTCCGTCCGAATCCTTCCTATATGGTAGAATTTCCGTGCGACCAACGCCCCTCATTGTATATTTTGGTACTCAAATAAGAAGTTATTTCTAAAGAGTCATTCTCAATTTTGAATGAGATGTACGTCTGTAGCCCAGTGGTATCTTCTAGGCAATGGTAATTGCATATTCGATTCAACATACCAATAAAATCTCTTGCACTTTGGCTTTGTGAACCTCCGCGTGTGTTAAAAAAATGTTTGCAGCCCTTTAGCAACAGAGATATCATCCTTTGCGTCATGTTTTACCGGAAGATCAACCTTTGTGGATACTCCGGAACTACCAGGGCGAACTTCAAAGTCATAGAGGATTCCTGAAGTGATATGCGATGTGTAGGGAAGATCCCCGGCTTGACCCTATTCAGTTCCTGCTGAATTCAATGGGACTGAAATGACCAGCCATGTATGTAGCTTTTCCTTTGAGAGGGCTCGTCCGCCTCTATCAAAGATAGACCGAGATTAGGAACGACGTAAGCGTGGTAAAATATTATGGCGAAAGTCTGTTGGCGGAAGTCGTACTTTCTTGAAGCAAGCAGGTCCCATAGGATTTCACTTGTAGTATTCCACCAGAGGAGAGCATTGGGAGATAGGTGTTTATCAGAAAGTTTGGTGGAGGTAAGAGTTATATCATAAGTTACTGAGCTACTTCGTTGCGGAACACCCTGTCATTGCACGAGTATATTAGTATCAAATTTGTAAAACTAAGCAGAGCTAGGAATAACCGAGATACAGTGCATAATGAGGTAAATTCTCAAAGCTTGGCGATTGCTATAGAATCTGTAGATATGAATATGGCGTTCGAAATATTATTGAGTGTGAGACTGCTGTGTGAAGGATATGGATCTTCTCAGGCAGCGGGAGACTTATATATCACAGAATCATGCCACACTCATCAATATGATGATGAGTTAGACTACTTAGTTTACTCAAGTCCGTTAATTCAGAAATCACCAAATGAGCTCATGAGATACCAAAATAGGAAGAATAGAGAAAATGAACTTGTGCATTGCACCTGAGTAACAAAGCCTCCATTCGGGCCGACGCATCAGTGGCTGATCTAGGTTCAACTAGCATTTTGAATCTGATTATGATGCCTGAATAGAGAGGATAATTCTTCAAATTTCTCAACAGTCAATGTGGCAGGAATATAGAGCATCTATCTGTCTACCTCAAGACATCGTACTTCTTATCGGGAATATTTGTCTGACTTGTGACTTTATTTTCGCACCGAAGTAATCTTCCATTGCATCGTTAAATACAAATTCATTTAATCGTTTTGAAAACACGGAGAGGGTATTAACCAGTTGTCATGCAACATATAACAGACAGCATGCCTTGACGAGTCGGTACATAGTAGCAGTGCTCACTGTGAGTTTCTCGGATTCTAATAAAATTGAGCAGTTACTACATGTATTGATCTCGCCTAGCATCAGAAAATGACGCTGCGCGATTAGATTGTCGGTCTGGAAACCATCCAATGCCCCGGGATACCACATGCATATTTCTGCATCGGATAGATTCGAGGCTTGGAGTTTACTTGCTAGGTGTGGGACGCATAGTGTGATTGCCCATATGGATTAGTGGAAATCTTTCGAGTCCCGACAAATCATGCATAGATGATAGGCTATAACAACATACTTTGGTGGAAGATTTAGCTTGGCTTGGAGGATGTCAAGAAAGGGCGTAGTACTCGCCGCTTGTGAGTTTTGTGTGGACATGTCTTTATAGTCAGTTGTGCGAACAGTTTCTGGATGGGTACTGAGTCACACTCCACCGACAAATGTATTCCTTTTGTACCTCTGCTCCGAAGAATAGATGGAGAATATTTCTTCCCCGCAACCTTGTGTATGCACCCATCAGAGAAGTGAAGCTCTAAGCGAATTTGATCCGGTCGCCAAAACTGCGCAAGGCTGTTCCGAACACCATCTTCCCTTTTGAAAAATCCTCGGTACCGGTGTTATGGTACGGATGCAAGTATCCTTCTTCCCACTAGTACCAAAGTGTATTTCTTCCCTACGCGAAGCAGCAATCAATATACTTGGCTCTTTGAATTACTCCCCATACACGTAATCTGAGTGAGTTGAGGCTGTGGTAGAATCTTCATCTCGTAAAGCCAACTTGGAGTTTTTCTCCCGCGCTCATAGCTTTCCTTTCAATCTATTTCTGAACTCAGTATACCGAAATAGCAATGCGCACTAAGCTGTTGGGTTTGATGCCAGATAGTGCAGTCATACATTCCGATATACATGTATCTCTGATCTGGGGGTTGATGGATTGAATTGTAATTGTAATTGTTACAACAAATACTTCTTCTTCTGCTTCGTCCATCATTACAATCATGCAATAGATCAATATTGATTGAAAGATAAAGATTCCTGCATCCTCAATCTCTGAGGAAAATACCCAACCACACTTATTTTTGATGATAAGGCTAGTATCGTTCTCTAGGGCTAGAGCAATCTTTATCTGAAGAGAAAGTACAAGTTACAACATATTATCAATAGATATCAAAAGAGCTACATATATGTCGTTATTTTAGATACCTAGATAATAAACTTTTCACTTTAATTCACTACCTATCTAAGTATGTAAAATGATAAATATCTACCTGTACTATATACATACATATATACATTTCATATATATACATCTGCATCATATAACACCACGCCCAAGATCATCATATCATATCATATTCCTTTTGATTTCCATACTCATTTCCACCATTTCCACCACTCTTCTATTCTACAAATTTCCCTCCCCCCTACTCATCCATCTCCCACCCCTCACAACTCATCCTTCACCTTCTCTGCCTTCTCCGCCTTCTCCGCCTCAAAAGCCCCCCCACTCAAATCCGGCATCCCCATAATCTTAACCACCAAACTTGTCCACCCCGTAAAATGTTGCGTTCTCTGTCCCACACCCGTTTCCGGATTATATTGTTCCCAGGCAAATCCTGTTTCTTGCCAACTATCATAGACCGTCTTGATAAGATTCAATCTAAGTTTCGTGTAGAGGTCTTTAGATTTTTCTTGGTGGGGACCAGGAGTTTCTGCGTATTTCTATGAGATGATTAGTATTTTCGGCTAAAGAATGATCAAGAAAAGGACTTACGAGTAATTGAGAGACGGCCAAGAAATTCATATTCATCCAGATAGGACCTCTCCAGTAATTTTCATCGGTTCCATAGAACGAATCTTTCTTACTCAAAGATCTAATCCCATGTTCACTCCACAATTCTTCTTCATCACCCAACAAATTAAGAATGTGGCCCAGTTTATCACTATCCTTATCAACGAGGCCTGTCAAGAAAGGAAACAGAGAAACATATCCCTTATGACAAACCAATTGATGTTCTTCGTAATCATCAATCGTAGCATCGCAGTAACATTTTTCTTTTTCGCTCCAATGTAAATCATCAATGTTGTGATGAATAGCTATTTCAATGGTAGCTAACTCAGCAACATCATCTGCCATGCCGAGGAGACTAGCAATGTTCTTGAGAGATTTAGTCATCATACCCATCCAAGACATCAAATCAACATGTAACTCTCCTGGGTGAGGTGGTTGAGGACGAGGATAATCATCGAGACCACTAGTAAGAATATGTTGTGGTGTTCGACCTCTCCACCTATAACCTTCCTTGGAGCTAAAAGCATCACGATCATAAGATTTCAAATCTCCGGCTTGGGTTTTACGGAACCAGTAGTAATGCTTCTTGAGCTTAGGGTAGAGCTCATTGAGATATTGAAGGCCAGCTTCTGGATTCTTCAAATATGCCGAGTAGATTGAAGGTTCTTGAGTAAGTTGCTCCTTTGCTTCTGGCGAAGTACCATTGAGTGCACCAAGCTTGCTAATAAAAGCATCAATGATGAAAAATAGTGTTGGTGGGTTGGCATAATGAGGATATTGTGTTTGGAATTCAACAGGAACCTTGCTGCGAGCTTCAGCACCAAGAATTTGTTCTCTACCAATCCATCCATCTTCATCCATCAGATTGAACCAGCTTCTGACAACCTCGAGAGTAAGATCAATATCCCAGTCGGCAATCGGAAGAAGATGAAATCCTTCATCCCAGAGGAATCCTCTAGGGAAGAATGGTCGAGATGGAACGGTAGTGAAAAGTTCAGATGGACCTTCCAGCTTTTCTTGTCTTCGTCCCCTCGCTGCTGCGGCTTCTTCCCAAAAACCCTCGTTACTCTCTTCATACTCCTCAGCATATGAACGATCAACCACCGAATCTCCATGGAAATATCCAAGACCACCAATCAAGTTTGAAAACATTTTACTTGAAAATCTTTGGAGACTCTCGATATCAAAAGGTGGTTGCAGATCAAATGTAGAGATGAATCTGTTGTAAAAAGATACACTATTCTCGCCAATCAATCTCGAGATTTCTTGACTAGAAAGTTCCTTCTCCGCCGAGGCACTGTTGAAGATGATATCGAATTCAAAATCTCCCTCAAAGACTTTTTGTACCAAATGGAAATTTCCTTCATCAGGTGCGTGTGAGACAGTATAGATCTGATAAGGAGGAGGAGCATTATCTTCTCCATAAGTTCCCAGATACTCATCGATTTGCTCCTTCAACTTGCCGAACAAATGAGGTTTGGCAGCCCAAAGTATCTTCTCATCAAGTGTGAGAGAGTGAACAAAAGTCCTATCCAATGGCTTCTCCTTATAAGACGGATGATTCGAAGCAGGATGATAACCCCGACCAGGAGTAACCGTGATCTTATACTCGCCCAACCCATCCGAATCACCATTGAAAATGACTTCTCCCTCGAACCCCAAATCATCCTGCTCATTCGCAACCGTCAAACTTCCCAATCCTTCAAGAGAAGCGTAGAAAACCATCGTAGTTTTTAAATCTGCAGGCGATCCATCCCTAACTTTACCCCTCACTCTCGTAGCCCAGTTTCCACCATGTTTACCCCCAGGGGACTTGACAAAGAAAGTGCTGATATCAATCCCATTGCTCTCATCGTACATGGTTTGTTTTCCACCATTGCGAGCATCGAATTCCTCCCATCCATAACCTCTCATACCATCACCTTGCTCGCAGGTATGTCTAAAGTCTATAAATGGTAAAGTTAGCCATGATTCCAATATTTCTCCTCCCCATTACATTGATGATAACTAATCTCGCACCCTCCAAACCTCCCATAAAACACAAAACTTACTATGTTGCACATCCACGAAATTATCCACCTTCGCCCACATCAACCCCCCCGTAAAACTCTTAGGGATCCTCGGACGAACGCCAAAATACAAATTCGGTTTGTAAGCACCCCATAGCAAACTACTATTCTGTTCTCTCGCAATTTCCGTCGTCAGAATGCCGACATCTTGTTTCTCAGCCGCGTGGATAGAAGTGCCTAACAGCGAAAGTACTGCTACCAGAGCTGTGACTGGCCGTAAGGTGACGGGCGTCATATTTTCCCCAATTGAAGAATTGAAAAGTTAGGATCCAGAATGTTCAATCTGGATACTTAACTTACTGATGAAGAAAGGAAAAAGGGGTTGAAGAGAGAAATCATAGGACGTGATATCCAAAGAACACCGTTGCGGATTTGTGGATAGATTGTGTTGCGATCAGCCTGTGGCGCGAGGCTGCAGGGAAGGCTTCATGGTTCCATATGATTATTGGTCCAAATATTCAAAGCACGGATAGAGACGCGGGCCGAAAGTTACGGATAAATGAATGATGAATTTCGGTAATCGGGAAAGTGTTCCTGAGTATTTATCCTTCCAACTATCTAGGTATGGGGGGGGGGAAACGCTCAAAAAATGCTAATAAACAAGGTTGATAACTCCCCAGATATCATGTGGTCATGTATTATACCAATTTGTCAATCTTCAATCCACAAATCTACAAACTCACACCCTTTTCCCCGCCCTCAATCTGTAACCCCTCATCTAGCCTGTTTGCCATGACCTGAGAGTATTCTTACACTCCTTTGCTCCTCAATTAATCCCTACTCGGACTCAGCGGTCGATTAAATCCTCCAACCCGATTCATGTATTGACGATACTGTGTCTTCTTTTCCTTCCTCACCGCACTCACATTATTTCCTGCTACCTGTTTATTTTGTGTGGTTGCGAATCCTCCAAATCCCATCATTGCCTGCATGGCTGCCATTCCATCATCCTCAATCACGATATCATCGTCCTCTTCTTCCTCTTCCTCCTCCTCAATCTTCTTCTTATGTCGTGACGCCTTCTTGTTCCCGCCGTCAACATCCATCCGATCGTGATCTGGAGCTGTAGCTGCATTTGTATGACTAGCCCCAATACTGAAGCTTACTGGTTGTGGAGCATCGTCTATATATTCGCTATTCCGTATCTTCTCACTACCTCTATCCTCTTTATAATCTCGCTCATCATCGCGCCGCAGACTCCTAGATCTAGTTCGCTCATTTGGTTTCTCTCCTGATGATCGCTCATTGTCTTGGTGCTTGTTAGACAGTGTTCTAATTGCAAGTACAAATGTTCCATCCTTCTCTAGATCAGATGAAAACATACCTTTTCTCCCACTTCTCTCCTCATCAATTCCTCGAGAATGTCGAGTCTCATCTTGTTCACTGTTAGATCTCCCTCTCAATGCAAACACCGTCTGCGAAAGCGCATTTGGCATAAGCTCACCTCTAGTCCTATCCGGCACATCTCTTCGATGACCATCTCTCTTATCCGACCGCTCATCATTTCTTTCCCGATAATCTCTATTCCTGTCACTCCCGCGCCCATCTCGATATTCATCTCTCCTTCCACCGCGGTCTCGTTCTCTCTCTCGATCTCTGTACGAACTGCGTCTATGATCTCTCGAATCGCGCGGCGATCGGCTTCTATCTCTGCGACTGCGATCATGATTTCGATTTCTCTCATCGCGTCGATCTCCTCGATCATGTACTTTATCTCGGTCTCGAGCAGAACCACGACTTTCGCTTTCCTCCCACATTTTGGTACTATCAGGACGTTGTCTTCTTCTTGGTAAATCTGACATCTTGAATAAATCTTAGTTCTTAATTCTTTCTCAAAAGGACCAATCCAATCCAATGCAAGAAAATGATTGTTGTTTATAAAGTAAAATAAAATAATGTAGAAGCTCTACCATACACTTATTAGCTATTCGCGACAAAACCGTATCAAACCGTATCAAATTTCAATTGGTCCCAGATCACATGATACCGTACCACCAAACTTTATGTTGCACATCTACTGGACCCTTTAACTTTCGCGCAAACTTTCGCAATCGACGCCCCAATTTTCAGTCCAAAAACAGAAATGGTTTCCTGAATGTTTTCTGACATTCATGTAAAAATTTCGGAGGTTCTCCCCAAAAATTGATGGACCTCCAAAATTCAAAATTCTGAAAGCTTTCCTAACTTTTTGATTTACATACGGAAGGGATTCCGCGGAAAAGATGCGACGATGTAGAAATAAAGTGAATATTTGCCCAAATAAAGGAAGGCGTTGTTGAAAGGTACCTCTCAAGGTCGATGGCGGCACAAGACCGAAGATGAAGTGAATATCTGCTACCTCGACAGGTACGGGTTTGAAATCGGTTCTCATCTCATCTCATCACTCATTGAGATTGTTAAGATATGGTAACAGGCAACATACAGCAGTGAGGAGAGAAATCGAAAGCATGGTTTTAACCCAGCAATCCTCCGCTTCCCAGCCCATCCCCTCAGCTCACTCGTTGATTCAAAGGCCTAGTTGATAGTTGATAAACAAATATATTATTCTAATTCTGATGGATTTCCCATGTACCCTACACCCAACCATAATACCATACCATACCAACGCTATGCTATTCAAAAACACCCATTCATCCTATCCATCCATCCATCTATCCCTCTACAAATCTCATTCTTCCCACTATATCCACACAACATTGAGATTCTTAATCTCATCCATCACCCTCCTTCAATCCAACCTCCCGTCAAGGCCAACCAAAAACATTAAGCACACCCGCTACATTCCACCTAACCCCCACCAACACAACCGTCAAAATGATTAAATCTACCACCCCAAGTACCGCACCAGCCATCATGAATTTCGGGCTGAAAATACGATACAACATAAGATGTCTTCTCAACCAACCTGCCCACATGGTAGTAGCCAATACCATGACTGCATAGTAGAGAATATGCCATGCCAAAGCAGCGGTGACTGTTTTCAAGAGTACCATTTTCTTTGGTTGTTGTTTCCAGAGGACAATGAGGGGAACAGCGGTTGCGGCGAGGATTTGTGGACCGAATGAATTGAGGGCGACGAGTATTGGAGACCATGGGTAGCGGATTGTGTGGAGAGGGATAAAAGCAGATTCCCATTGGATGGAAGAGAGAGTAGCTTGGTGACCAGTTTTGAAGAAATGGAAGGAGCCGAGGATGGCGAGCATAATTGGTCCAATAGGAGAATTGGTCAAGGAGTTGAGATCGAGGAATTCCACTAGAGAAAGAATTTGGAGAGACATGAGAGAGAGAGCGCCGAATCCCACAGGCTTTTGAACCATGAGTACTGCTAGAAGCACATTGGTAATAAGAAGGAAGTAACGAGCACCATGAGTGTTTCCATAGCCAAGAATCATAACCCGTGTACCTTGTTGTTTAGGGGCGCCAGCAGGTAAGATATCACTGAGTGAAACAGTGCCAATGGCAATACAAGGTGGCGCAAGATAGAATGCAACAGAACCAGCACCTACCACCATGGCAAGAACTGTCTGAGCAATTGGTACTCGCATAGCTTTCAAGGCACCTTCATAAAAGTCAGGGAACCAATTTCCATCATCAGCGGCATCTAAAGTCCAGAAGATAGCAATGAGGAAGAGCCCGAATCTAAAAGCTCCATCAATCCAGAGTGGTGCAAACCCTTCATAAGAAAGACTAGTTGCATAGTAAGCTTTGATGAATGCAGGTAAGGAGATTGCGAAAAAGAACGGGATGAGTAATTGCCAAGGGGCAGAAGTTGACGATGTGGCAGAGGCATAGTATGTAGATCTACAGTAAGGCATCTGTTCTTCTCTGCACAACTTGGAGTATGAAGCAACCCAAGCAAGACCCATGAACACAAGAGAGTGATACACTCCCAAAGTGCGACTGCGTACTTCCGATTGCCTAAGCGAAGAAACAACACCAGCTACTCCGAAAGTTGTAATGAAAAACAACAAGATGGAGTCTTCCCAGATAGTATACGAATTCGATGCAAAGCCGATCGATTGACTAAGTGTGAAGACGGTTGCCATCCAACCCCAGAATGTTTTTGGGAGGGGATTGCCAATCTTCATCAATGACAGAAGAGCTCCAATGAGTCCACCGATGACAGCACCATTTATACACAACTCTATAACTTGACCTTCAATGACATTTTCCAAAATGGTAGCTTTCATAGTCCAAAGAGCCAGTCCTACAGCAGCACCAACAGCAGAGGCCAGAGAAATCGACAGAAGTAAATTTGGGTTGATTTCCTCATCTCCAATATCTCTCTCTCCCTTTGCATAAGCTTCGAGTTCCAATTTAGCTTGAGCTTCGTCAAGATCTGCTGATTCGGGTTCATCACCATCACTAGCGTTACCATTGGCATACAAAACCAAAGCTAACACGCTAGCAGCAAGAATGCAAATGCCTAAAATCATACTAGGAACATCAAATCGTGCCCAGAGATCTCGACAAATTCGCAAGGTCTCTGTCTCATAGGCGGAGAACGCATAATAAACTTCGGCAGACCTTTGGGCTGATTTGGTGCCCATGATTTTTTCAGCTGATGACCAAAGAGCAGATGGAGAGCCATCAATAGTGCTCTCATCAATACCTCTGGCATCGAAGTATGCGGCTTGGTATCTCTTGATACCAGCAGCTGTCATTCTAGCCACATTTGCCAAGTTTTCCCAGGCATTGCCTTTCTTGCCTGCAAAAGCCTCTTCGATAGGCTTTCCGAGGTTATTGAAAGGAATTGGCAAACCCAAAAGCAGTGCAAGTGTAGGTACCAAGTCGATTTGATTAACTGGCCGTATCTTTGCGTTTTGTGGAGGCGATGCAAAAGCGGGATCTGTGCGACCAAAGATTCCTTTCTTAGAATACATCCACAATGCAGCTTCAACTTCATCGTCGCTCTCTCCACCATGATCACCTTTGCCATCCATACCATGGTCACCCATGATGACCAATAAAGTATCGTCATCAAGCTTCTCGACAAGTCCTCGGATCATAATATCCATTTGCTGTAACTTGCTCGTCATAGCCGGATGGTTTGGTCCATATCTGTGGCCCGCATGGTCCACACCCAAGTAGTGAGCAAACATAACGTCCCATTCAGCTTTCTTCTCCTTTTCAAGTAATGGCATAATATGTTCTGTAACCCCATTGTCGACCGTGTGCAAATCCCAGACATTGAGGGAATCATATGCACAACTGATATTCGGTTCAAAGTATCCAGGAAACAGCGCAGTCCATGTATCATCGCCCAGATGTACAATTTTCTTGCCAGCATCCTTCAATTGACCCAAAAGATTATCCTCTTCAATAGCCGTACCTGCAAAGTTCGAACCCGCATCCACAAATGTAGGGAGAGTTCCAGTTGTAAGCCCCTTCAATCTTTGCAATGTAGTTGTAGGTGGATCCGCGATAAAAGGCAATAAGAAAGCCTTGGTTGGTTCTCTGCGCGCAGTTTCGTATAAGAATGGTAGTGCATTGTGAAAGGCCTGTGAATCGTCACCAGCGAATGGTACCGTGAAATCGTAGCGTAACGCATCCACAATTACTACCACAGCCCTGCCGAAAGTCTTCGGGTGCCAACATCCTCCCTCTGGTGTACCGGCTCCTTTATAATCGACTATTCTTGGAATTGGTGGTTCGGCGCAGATAGATGATTCTTCCAAAACCAATCGTGTGAGTAGGAAGCCCTTTGTGAAGTAATAGATTCCCACGGCGTGCATAAGTCTATTCATTAAAAATATTAGCACAATGCCCCTCCACAGCCCGCCTCAAAAGAAACTTACGCCAGCCAAGCCCACCATCCTCCAACTGCCCACCACTCCCTTCTCCATTTATCTCTCTTTGCTTCGTTCAACTCATCCTTCTTATCCTTCTTCCTAGGTACTTTGGGTACTTTTGGTTGTATTATATTCCCATCCTTATCGAGCTTCTTCCCCTCTCTAAGTGCCTGTTCCTGAGCTTCTTTGCGCGCTTTCGCTCTCGCATATTGTGCCGCGAGCGAATCATAGGCGCCAGGTGCTGGCTTTGGATCTACAGTCTTCACCATTTTTGCATGAGCTCGGAGCTCTTCAGTTTGCCCTTAATAAAATGATAAGATCTTAATTGGGATGGACACTCCCAGAAGATTTTAGGTTCTTCAACTATCAAATAAAGATATGTTCTTAAATAAAGTATTATAAAGCTATCAATTGAATACTTATGTTTGTGTAGAAGAGAAAAAAAAATTATTGAGGACAAATCATTCAATTAAAAGTAGAATGATGATGAATGATGTGCATAAAGCTTCAAGACGAACTATTTTTTTCTCGAAGTGTTTCTCGGCTGCCGATTCGTTAGAGCTACTTCTAGCTCGGAAAATCCCCATACTTTCTCAAAACTAGGTACCTACGGGAAGCTGGTAAATGAGTATGGCATATTTTTTGACCAAGTGGTATCTGTCTTCTCTGCGGAGACAGACCCCGTTAGTTGGAAAGATCAATTGTATTCATTAAGTGTCTTTTATGCGAGAACGTCGAAGCAATGTCACATATTCTCCAAGAAGTCAAAATGTTATCACAAACACCAGATAGAGATTCAAGATTATATCGCTAACAGATTCCCATTCCCCTTAAACTACAAGTAATGCTCTAAAGGCATTTGATCATTCTTCATCATGCCCCTTCCTTGTCCGTTCATTCTTCATACCCACATACCATCATGTTCCGCATTTCCTAACCTTACACATCTCATCAATCAATGCCAAAACCATCGCACATGATGGGTTGCCCTAAAGAGCGAGATTATAGGAGTACTCGTCCTCGATGTTTTGCGAGATCCAAAGGACCACCGAACTAAACAATGTTAGCCTTCAACTCCTCGTCATTCCGCCACAAAACCCTGGCTTCCAACAAGATTAACTGTTAAACTTACCTCAACATAACCCCAGCATTTGCTCCTACATTTGCAACGCCCATTCCCAAAGTGGGCCATTGTGCACCAGGCACCACATACTTCAAGACCAACACCGTAATACCTCCAGCCAATCCTCCAGCCAAACTAGCAAACCCTAAGAACAAAACTACTCTTGCTTTCCAAGCGACACCACTTCCGCTGTAAGAGAAGGAGTCCGCGGAGAGTCGGGACTTTTCGATGGAGTTGATAATGAGCATGCCGAGAGAAGAGAAGATGAGTGGGAGCCAATCGATAAATGTGATATGAATTGGGGGGTCAGACCCATTGAGGGCAGACTTGGACCAAAGAGCCGCATCGAGAAGGATGAAGAATGAGAGAGAGAACTATTTGTAGATGTGTTAGTAGAGACATGTGAAACACAAAGCAATCGCAGACTATCGAGGTTTCCGTAGAACCGCACAAAGCATGAGATTGTAAGGTTATCATACCAAAGCCCCCGCAGCATATACACCAGCACCCTTCGCCGTGGCACTGTTCATCCATTCCGGCTTTCTGAATTTCCAAAGACGTTCTTCCGACATTGTTATCTTGCAATTCCGATTATCTGCTCCTTGACCGTTGCTTTCTTGACTTTCGCTCAGCCTTCCCTATATTTATCCTTTGGCGCTCAATTTTGTGATTACTTCTCGTCGGACAATATGTCTCGACTGATGGCGCAACTCGTTTCAAGTTTGTAGATGGATATTGTTGTTGGTGTTGCGATATGATTAGCTAGGTAGCTGTTTGAATGCACAATCGAGCTTGCGCAATGATAGCTTCAGCCAAGCCCGCTACCGCCGCGCGCTTACATCAGGGGTGTTGTAATCACGTGCCATGTTAGAGGTATGCTTGGATTGGGATCGTCATTCTAGTTTTGTGTATATTGGGTATTTATGCTGCGTCTTCAATTGTGAGATATTGTGGCGAATGCAAATTTCACTCAAAATTTCGAATTCTTAACATGATTGCTACTGAAGAAAGGTATCTACTGGATTGCGTTCAATATACCTAAAAGACAGACGAGTCAAATTCAATACAGTGCTGGATATGAAAGAATAAACGCTCAACAACCGCATTGTATATCAACGACATGCCTCCCCAGCCTTGAAACTTTCGATTGTTGAAAATACCTTCTCCATCCAATAAATCGAATTAGCCATGAAACAACTGCAACACCAAAAGCCGTCACCACATGACTTATCTCACCAGCCTCATCAGCCCTCTCCCGTTTCTCCTCCAAACAATTTGCCATGCGCCTTCTGGCGCCTTAATGAGTTTATTTCCTAACGATCAATACAATCCCCAGCCAGAACCAATCATTGCGTGTAACCCCACGGTCGTTTCGGAGGTCGACTCGCCAAGCTTTTGAAGGAGCTAGAGTAACGATTGATCGCGACTAAATTATTGGATAAGATGATATCCAATGCCTGGTTGTGCTTGTCCCGTTGCACGGGGAGCGCAAGATGCAGGTTTATAGGAAGCTAATGTATGGTTATAAGATTTGAAACGAAGCCACGCGAGGTTAATTTTGACCTTGGATGAAATCAATTTCCAAAGATGCATAACGAGATGAATACTCTGTAAATCTTTGGAGCGTGTGACGTGGGATAGTGAGAACCAAGGCTTGAAATGATATGTACGTTGTGTTGCTACGCCGCCAACAGTTGGTAGTATGTATGTTAGTCGTACATTCTCAGCCCTGGAGAAGTCATCTCTTTTCTTGGTTTCGCAGACAATGCATGGTATGACTAGAAGTTAAGGTTAATATTGATCAACGGTTTTGTGATACCTCGAATTCTTGAGTTTGATGACGGGTCAATATCTAAATCCTGATATACCATTCGCCAAGCACTTATCTGCACTCTGTAAAATGTTTGGCCGTGATGACATTATAAGATTGATATGTTGAGGTTACCCCTCTGATGATGATAATCCTGGTTAACTTATATAGATTTCCCCTTTTCCGGAGATGTCATGTAAGCAGAAAAGAATGAATTGGCGGTGGGACTCAGGGATTTAGGGGGTCTTGGGAGTGATGCAAGCGAAATTTGATGGAAAGATGAAATGGACATCTAGAATCGATTTGGGGGGACTCTGGGGCAGAACGAGAGTAAGACTGTTAGACGAATGTGGATGTGAAGGATGTCATGGTGTGATGTGTAATTGACTGGTATTCAGCAAAATATATATCCTCAGCAATACTCGATTAGTTTGCATGCATGTATGTGTTCAACTCGTGGCGAAGCGTTGCACATGAATCAAAAGTTCAATTATAGAATACCAAACGCCAGATATAGGCTAGCTGACTGTATTTTGACTTGAAGGTATAGTTAATCCATCTGAATGAATGTTGGTCTTCTGTCTATTTTGATGGAACGATTCAGACATCAGATACAATGCGATTGAGCCAATCTCATAAGAGTAGTAATCTGCAGTTATCACACTGTATCATGACTTGATGCATGTGGGATATCGCCAACATCGTTATCTTGATCTACTGAGAATCTCAGATATCGACTACCTAGTATCTAGTACCTAGTACCTAGTACTGTCTATAGACTGAATGCACTCTTTGCTTTTTTGCCATTGTTCCCGTCGTCATAGAACAAGGTATTGTATGTACGGCAGGAAGGTAGGTAGTTCTTTCTGCAATCATCCCCTTTTGACTCCTTTTGAAACGATAATAAATAAGATTGGGTTATAAAACGAAGGTTTTGATATCTATCTATTTTACTTCTCCATATAACTAGTTATGCCTAGTATTTAATACATTTATATCCAAACATGCATGAAATAAGCCACTATACAAACAAATGATTCACCACCGTCGAGTGCTTCGGCTTTTTATATAATAGATGCTTCAATATTCTCTATAAATGTTGAATAGATGAGAAACATGAGATCAATAGGAGAAGTACAGTACAAGACTTCTTCTAGTTCTTCTGGTTCTTCGATTCCTTCTTCTAGTCCTCCTTAATTCTTCATAGCTACCTAGTACACACACCTACACCCATCTACACCCATCTACACCCATCTACACACACACACACACACATATCAGTACCAATAAATACCTACCCAGTCACCACATCCTCTCTCCTTTTTCTCTCTCTCCCATCTCCAATCTCTTGACTTATCGCGCTCACTCACTATCGGCATTTTTTCAAGGGTCCCACCCAAATTTCGGCTAGTCACCTCTCTTGACGTTTGGATTGGACGACTGATTGATGGGATTGATTGATAAACTCACTTACCATCAGACCAGGAGACCAGGACAGGAGACCAGGACAGGAGAACCAAGGAGGACCAAGGAAGACCAAGGAAGACCAAGGGCGGGTTTCAGGGAAGGAAGTAGTGGTAAACTTACCATACCCTTACCATACTCTGTACACCAAATCCAGGGCAAAGACTTTAGGTGCAGACTGTAGTGTGCGTACTAAGGGAATTAAGTGTAATAAGTGTAATAAGTGTAATAAGTGTAATAAGTGTAAAAAGTTGCAATAATAAGTAATAATAAGTAATCAAATCAAACCGCGATTTGATAAATCTTTTTTCACGACTTTACCACTTACTATTTACCATTTACCATTTACTGTTTACCATTTACCATTTACCATTTACCATCTACCATCTACCACTCACCACCACTCACCACCACTCACTCATCACTCATCACTCATTCACCCAGTCTTCCAATCTCCCAGTCTTTCAATCTTCCACCCTCCCTACCTACCTACCTATCAATTCAATTCAACTCCAACTACGACTTCCACTCCAACTACGACTTCATCTCCATCTCCTCAATAAACACAAATCTCCAGAATTGTCTCTCCTCACTCCTCTCTCCATACGGCGCATAACCTCAATATCAACACCAAACAAAACAAATCAAAACAAATAACCACCTACCTACCTACCTACACACTTCAAATATCTTCTGGAAACTCCTCATCGACAGCTAGCAGAACTGTGAAAGTTTCATCTAATCATTCAAAAAAGTATTTACAACAATACTGGAATAATCGCCAGTCATGGCAGCAGGAAAGTAAGTTATAATTCAAGAATTCCCCTTTTTGTCTTAATCCTCTGCCATCAAAGTTATCTATCACCTCCAACTCAAAATACTTCAATCGATTCTGTGAATGATACTAACTTTGATACCTTTAGCCCATTGGGCTCTGCCTTTAAATCTTTCTGGCATACTATGACCAGTTATGATCGTCGTATGTTCATGCCAAAACTCCCCAAGAAACTTTAATCTCTCTCTTCTAACCAAAATAAACAACTAAACAGACTCATCGTATGATTCGCCATATAGAACTGGCGGACATGTTCCTCTCGCACAAAGTCGACATGAACCTCTAACATCAGTTGCAACAACAGCTTCAGAATCACGCGCAGATTTGAATTCCCCCTATTTTGAAGATTCAGGTCGACAATCTACATCTGCACTCAACGGCAATGCTTATCCAAGTTCACCATTTGCTCCTCCTGCAAGTCCAGGTCCACAATCACCATATTCACCAGGAATGAGATCATCGACGCTTCAGCGACAATCTACGCAAGAAAATTTTGAGAATGTTACACCAGGAGAAATTCAATTGCAAGCTTTCCAAGAGGGTCTTCCTCCCCCACCACCAGTCGGACACTCTTGGAAGAGAATCGACAGGTGGGCCGAGGAGAATTATGAAGAATTATTCGATCAACTCTGCGAGGGATGCACAAACAATGATTTAAATGAATTAGAGCATCAATTGGACTGTTCCCTACCAATGGAGGTTCGAGAGTCGATGCAACTTCACGATGGACAAGAACGTGGTGGTCTACCTACGGGAATCATTTTTGGCTCCATGTTGCTTGACTGCGAGGAAATTGTACAAGAGTGGGAAAACTGGAAAAAGGTCAACCAGGAATATCTTACAGAATCACCTTCTTACAGACCTTCAATTCCACCCAAGGCATTAGGTGGTAGCTCATCTTCATCATCGAAGCAACCTGCGAATGCACAAAATCCCTACTGGAGACAAGATCTATTGGCCCGCCAGGATTCTCAACCTCCTAATGCTATCCAAAAAGTTTACGCTCATCCCGCTTGGATTCCACTTGTTCGAGATTGGGGTGGAAACAACTTGGCAGTTGATCTGGCACCAGGACCAGCTGGTAAATGGGGTCAAGTTATTCTATTTGGTCGGGACTACGATTGCAAATATGTCGTCGCACGATCGTGGTCTGCTTTCTTGGCTACCGTCGCAGATGATCTCAGCAGTGGTAAATGGTTTGTGGATGAAGACACCAATGAGCTAAAATTGAAGGAATTCAAGTCCGGAAAAGTTGAGCCTGGTTACTTTGATATTCTAAGATGGAGAATGGATCAAAAGTATGGTCGCAAAAATGTGCGAAGAAGATCAGCGCCACCCGTCAATGGTAATGGAGGATCCCCTTCTGGATCTCCTTACGCAAGCCCAGCTGCTGAAATCGGTGAGCCACGCGGACGTTCTATGCAACGTTTCTCAGGAGCCTCGCCAATTCCAAGTCCAAACCGTCCTGGTTATGGAAAATCAAGTCCTCTAGCTCAAGTTGCTGAAGAAGGTTCCGGATCAGGAATGAAGGTCAGCACCATAGATATTCCCACTACGAAACTTGTCGATGTTCAAACTCCAAGACCAAGTGAAGAAAACAAATCTTCGGACCGACCATTTGTAGAATCCGAATCACCTAACGAGAACAAAGAAAATGAAAAGGCCAGTGAAAA